ATGCTTCTCTGCAAAACCAATAATTTTGGATTTATACCCATTTGCCCGCCCATCAGAGATTTAAGATTAGACAATAATGAACTCACGATGCAAATGAGATTATGATTTATTTGCAATCGCATTATGCGAATGATCTAGTATCTTTGCAATAAATCAACTTGATTATTGTCAATTTTCGTTTCCATTATTCAAGATCATTGTCATACTTTCACATTGAAATACTTCGTAAGAAGGATCCGAAGGTGAATTCGAAGATCAGGTCCTGATTACTTCAGGTAGGTTTTATTACGAGAAATGTCTATTTACAAGAAGTTTCGGCTAGTCATGTTTACAGATACGAGAGTAAATAATACATAATGTTCATAAATTAGCTTTGCAATACTGCACGTGTATAAAAAATACAGGAAGAAGAAAAAGAAGAAAGAAAAATTACTAAAAGATAGAAAGCTCAATGAACTGAAAGAGAAAAACAAACGATCGTTCATTATACACATTATATACAACTGTAGTAACTATATAATACATTTAATTGTTTAGTATTATCTCGAATGAGAGTTCTCTCTATTTAGAAGAATTTTCTTCTTTCAAATCTCCGTTAGTGTTGAGGTTACGAATATAAATATAAAGAATAAATTAAGATTCGTTATTTCGTTTACCTAACAAGAAAGCATCTTGTATAACGATACAAGGGAAAGTAGTGCGTTAAATACGATCTTTTTGACATAAAAATCGTCTCGAGTCATCCATTTCCGTTTAATTACAGGATTATCGTATGCTAATTACTGAAATCAATGTTGTCCAATGTTAAGCTTCACAGATTAGGGGACTTCCCCCATCTTGTCTCTATTATGCTACTGGAGTGCCATCTACTGACGTCTACTTTGAATATTCCCGCGCAATTTTTGTTCGTTAATCTCTTTATTTCTTTCAAGCGATACTCCAGCAAAGACAAAACAATACAAGAAGCTTTGTTCGAGGACAACACTGATTTGGATAATGGAGACCGATCGTGCAACTTTCTGCTGCATCAAAAGGGTGAAGACATCAGTGTTTTCCAATTAGAACTTTTTAGGAACTCCTTTAATGTATAATTTATTTATATAATATAAAAAATAATAAAAACACCAATCATAGGTTTTATATAAAATTTAGGAGTTCCGTGAAACACGAATACGACGTCATTATTAGGCTGAGGATGTTTACGCAAATTCAAATTTTTGTGGTCACAACTGAAAAAATGGAACCTAAAAAGATATTTATTATGTGTGTTCTGAGAATTTTTACATTATCGAATATCCTATAATTGCATAAAAATCCGCAGTCTAATTATTATGAAAAGTCTTCTTCGTAAGAAGCATTGGAAAACGCTGTTGCAAACGAACGAAAGAAATTTAACGAGATCGTTATCTCTTTTCCTTTTGCTTTTTTATACAGCACCTCATGGAGATGCTACTTAAATCTACAAAAATTCATTTATGCGACAACGACACATTCTCTTCCTACGATTTCGTTTGCAAGAATATTCTCATTAAATCATTGTCTCTATTCGCAGCTAAAGCTTTGGTTAATAATGCGCTATTGACAGTATTGACAATTCTTATAGTTTCCCCCATTCCTTTTCTCCCACGAAACAGCGCAAACTAACGAAATCCCGATGACATCGTTATTCACGCTAATCCTTATACTTCTTTGAACTTACATTTCTTCTCCGAAGAGCATTTTTATTAAATATATATATTCATATATTTATATTTATATATATCTCTCTTTTTCTTTTGTCTCATTCTCCCTAAGTCGTATCGTCATTCTTACAACACCAACTTGCCTCTTAAAATATTCTTTCTTTATGCTTACACTCATTGTTAATAGAAAACATAATACATAGCTGAACAAAGAACCAAATCAATTTTGATAGCATAACTTAATGATATCGTGGAAGAGCACCTGTAAAAATCCATGATCTATGAATCCCAAGAGTGATTTTGCAATTTCTCCTAATTAATCCAGCATTATTTATATATAAAGAGTAATAAAGACAATAGAAATAATTTTTCAAGCTCAAGAACATTCCTTTGTTACATTAAGAAATAAATTATAAAATAACTAAATGATTGCAATTTTATTCATGTCACTCTCAGGATTAATTGTAATATTATTGTTATTAGAAAATAATAGAAATTGTATAGAATATAAGATCTGAGAGATTACAAGACATACAACAAATGTTTGCTTTTTGTACAGTTGTAAATATAATCTTGTAATTTTTTCAGATAATTTTATATTCCTCATTCGTAAATAGAGGCAAAGCCATTCTGGTCAATATGGACAGGTACATGTTATCGCTGTACTATTTGTCCTACTGCTATAGAAATCTACATTGTGTGTGAATTGAACAGCAGAAATATTGGTGATTCCATAAAAAATATTAATATAGAAGATACAAATCTTTTTCATGAAATCAAATGTTGCAATTTCATAATGCTCAATTTACACACAGCATACATATACACGAAGATTCAATAAAAATTAAATATTTTCAGCTATGCACTACATTCAACAGAAACACTCCTGAAGAATCTAAAATTTCGTGGTCATAAGGAGAACATGGATATGTAAAATCTGCATGTGTAACATGTTTCTGAATTCTTATGTTTTTTTCTTGATCCTAAATTTTTGTTTCCTAATAGTTGGTCTGCCATGAAGTATTTATAATTATTTTTCTCTTTTTTTTTTTCCTAATATTCTTTTTCACTGTTTAGTTAGTGTAAATGTTGTTGCATTTAGTCAGTGTTCTTGTATATGCGTTTCACACTACATATTTGATGCCATGAATGAAATTATTGTCTTTACAATAATATAAAAGTTTGCCAGGTAACATTGCAGTGTCATTATTTACGACATTATTGAAATAAAAATTCAATCTTTTCCTTATGTGGAATCTGTACGCAATAATGTTTACACATCAATGAAATCAAAAGAACATACGTGTATAAAAAATTAGTAGTGTATTGGGTTAGCAACTAAGTGATTGCGGATTTTATCATTAGGGTGGTAATAACAAAATTCGCAATCACTTAGTTGCCAACCCAATATCTTTATACATGTAATGTACATACATTCTTGAATGCCTAGAAAGCATATAGATTTTTTATCTTTCATTGGTTCTAGTAATCTATATCACACCATTATACATTTGCCCCAAAATTATCTTTAAAACGTGAGAAAATACTAATTACATGAACAGAATATGTACTGTACAATTTAAAAGATATACTGAAACAATTTTTTTAACAAGAAGCATTCGAACGCTTACAAATCTATATAAAAGAATGTTATGAACATTTAGCTATTGAATAACAAAGATGAAAAATGATTAATAATTTGAATGAAACAACGAGCATAATTGAAATGTTAGATAATGTACAAAAATTTCATTTAAATGCCAACATTGCAAGCACTCAATATCTCCTAATGGTACATGCTTAATAGCAAATACAAGGAAGACATTGCTTTATATACCTTTCCTTTACAAGTCCTACCAATTTACATGAATAACACCCTACTAGACTTTTCCATCATGTTGTTATACGATTTGATTAAACAATTTCACATTTGATTGCTCAAGCACTGATTGTAATTGCATACTAAATTGCTGACACAAACGTGTAAATATACTGACACATTGACCTGCTTAATCTTATTCCCTGAAAAAACATCTCTCTTGTCTTTAAAGCTATGTCTATATATATTCTCTTAAAAAACTTATTAATATTGCAGATATTTTAAGAATCATCTTCAATTCAGCATTCAAATGTGACACTATATTTAACAATAAGACTTAAAAAGTAATTAATTATCACTTTGTGCACTATGTGCATGCATACAAGAGCTTTATGATGAACGAATAAATTCTATCTCATAGACTTTATTATATTTGGAATGGAACATTTGAATAAATATGTAGAAATTGATATCTAAAGGTAATATGCAAGACAAGAGTGATATTTAAAATGGTAAAGTTTACTATCCTGGACATACTTTGAACACATGATCGTTTCAATTCTTTCCATTTAATAGACTGTCAGCATAAAATGTTTCAAGCACAATTTTGCTGCATTTTGGGATAAATCAGTATTAAATCAGTGTTCAATCTTGTCTTAACATAAGTGGTACAAATGTTGGTACTTTACAACCATATGATCTACATGTTTTGTCTTTTTTAAATTATAATAAAACATTGTAAGAAGAAATTTAATAGCTGAAAGAATAATTCTCAAATAAGAGAATTAAATTTCTGATAAAAATTTAATTACACCACTTATGCTGTTAGTAATAGATACAACATTCATATAACATAATTATTTACCACAAACAATAAGCAGTCACATATTATTTACTATAATGACATTATTATAGTAAATTTTTCATAGCATAATACTTTCTTTAGTAATCCTACTTTCTATTTACACAGTGAATCTTCATATAAAATACCAAAATATTTCAACATTTCCAAGATAATTTTACTCTGTCAATCCTTCCTAGCTCAATTTACATTTCATTCTTGCCACTGCAAATCAATTACTTTGGTTTGCAAGCTATCGACATGGATGGAAAAGTGCCAGATACTCGCAAAATCTACTAAATGGCATTTAAAAGACATTGTTGAATTTAAGTATTTTTAAAATATTTCATCGATCAATCGATTCTTAATGGCCTCATTACATTATTTTATTAGCATACCTGGCCAAATTATATTCAATATAAATAGTATTATATTCTGTGATAATAATACTAAAATACTAAAATATAAATCACTATCCTAATAAAATTTAAACTATGTAAAAAATATTCATAATTTTTTTCAATACTTTAATTTTATTTAACTACTTAAATTTGCAATAAGCAATAGTAATTACTAAAATCTTTATTATGAAATATTTTATTTGTTTAAATATTACTAATAACTGACCATCTTTTTTTATGAGCTTTTTCATAAAAACTATAAGTTTTAAAATAACGCTTGAAGTGAGATCTATTATTCTCTGCAACATGCAAATTGCAGTTTCTAAATTGATTTTCTTTTCTGTTTTCTTATTTAATATTTAACGTGCAATACTGAGAAACTTAAATTTTGGAAAGAACAAGAATAAATTTTTTAATTCTAATTTGTCTTTTATTTAATATTATTTATTACGTGCAAAGATGTAAAATTTTCTACTCGTAAAAAGATGCATTTAGATTGGTCGTTTAAACATTTATTTTATACTACCATATGCCGAAAAAAGAACTAATTGAATATCATTAAAAATAATCTCGAATGCAAATAAAATGTCTACTAATCTATAAATAAATAATAATTGTATTGTTCTGAATATTTTAAGTAATTGATCATTACAAATACAAACTACGTTATTCATCTCTGTATTTATCGTACAAAGACACCATAGAAATATCACATGGTATCAACTGATACTAATATTAATTAAATCACTGATGCAAATCAAATTTTACATATTTGTAAAATATTATGTTGTATATATCAGATGATATAAAAAAATCTCAAATGTTAAACGAAAATTAATTTTAAGAAGCGGAAATAAATACTCAGCGTTTAACATTTGCATTGATCCTTAAGCTCTATTTCATCCAGCACTCTTCCTCCTGGATACACAGTTCACGTGTTAAGAAAGTCTTTCGCAAATGAGAAATCGCGTTTCTCCCAGTCTTAATACCCATCACGCAAAATGCACTTAATGTCCATTATCTTGAAGAAGTAAGACGTTAATTGAAATTTATATATAATATATATAGACACACCGTGCTCCTAAACTTTGAATTCATGTACAATACGAAGAAATTGTTTCGAATATTTATAATATATATCCACTAAAGTGATATTTCAGAAGAAAATTATGGAGCAGGAATTTCGACCTTAATTCCTTTTTTAAACCGCTAATTATCAATATTAGAGCTTGACAATTAATTATACAACATAAAGCATTCCATGGTGCATACAATTTAAATCGTTTATGATACCTACTAAAAATGATTGTTTCAGATGAATTAATCATTAAGACCATTTTCATATATACTTCTTAAAATAAATAATTTATGATTGCCCCATCATAAACTATTTGCAATTTCTACTGTATATTCATAGTACAATCATCCAAAATTAGAGACACTGATGAACGCAATGTCTTATTAAAATAACTTTGATGCAAAGGCCCGATGCCTACCAAAGTAAAACTTATACAAAAGAACAGGACATTATATTGTATCGAATATATGGGTTTCAATTTTATATTTTGTCCTTTTTTTCTTTTTTCCTCTATTCATGCAAGAAAAATATATATTTGGGACTGACGTTTAATAGATATACTTTTATACACGATAATTAATTTGTATTTAAATCGTTGTCTTTGTTGCTTTCTGTTTTACTTGATCGAATATATTAATCTACTTAAACTACCTTTGGCAAATATCTTCTATGGCTCGTACAAAGTTTAGACGAGATGTTTACGATTATACAATTAATTTATTTCCAATATTGTGAAGATCTTTTATATTATCTAAAAATTATTCTAAAAATATAAGTATCCGTGTATCTACAAGTAAATATCGTTATATATGCGCGGTTCGCATTGTTCAAGATCCATGAATGTAAGAAGATGAATTAAAAAAATGGAAAAAATTGCTTAAAATCAAGTTTCGCGTCTATCATTTACTAGACATTTACTATAATAACGAATGTCGAGAAAAGTCGATCGCGAATATTCAATTTCGCGATCGCACACATGTTTCTTGGGAGAAGTTCCGATTGGTATAAGCTTTATTTTGCCAGGCATAAGGGCAAATTTACATATTACTTTAAATATATCGTGCTTCTTTCTAATAATCTGTTCCACCGTGATCTTCATTCAGACCTCGAAGACCACTAATTCTAAATACGTCTTCGTTAAAAAGTTTCTTTTTTTCTCTCGGCAAATAACCAGTCTATGCAGCAATGACTATATGGACAACAGTGACGAATGACGTGTTTGCATGTGTGTACATTAATGTACATTGATCTTATCCATATGCACTTTAAAACAGGATAATTAACAATTCTCTTACCAACATCGACCACTGCCTCTGAGTCACATTTTACTTTACACGCAGTCAGTGGGAATCACAAGTCACTTGCGATACATTATATGTCTGCACATTTATAGTTGGAAGATAATTTAGTAACTGGCTTCGTGTCCAGCAAGTATATACAAATCCGCGCCTTCGGATTCAGTCAGTGTACCTGATTGAACCAAATGGCTCTCCAGCATCACAACTCTATCGAAAAAAAAAAAATTAAAATTTATTACTTCATTCCAAACGTTTAAATCTTACATTTTTAAACCTTCAAATTTTTAAAATTTTAAAACATTTAAGTTTAAAATGTATAAAAATTTATTACTGTACAACAAGCACATACTTATCCGACCCAAGTAGTCTGTACGTCCTACTCGGATCACTGATTTCTTGAGTAACTTCGCCATTCTTGAAACTTCTACCTTGCATGCCATGTTTGTGGAATGCTAGTACACTATCAGGTAAGCAAACTGAAAGCAACAAAATGATTATGAAAAAACTTATTACAAATATAACAAAGTAAAAACGTTACTAATAAAAGACATAGAAACTTACTAATGGATTCAATTTGAAAGTTAAAGTGTAACTCTGACATATGCTTCCTGCTCGACCTAGGTTTTCCTTGTAGTGTTACCACTTTCACTACATCTATAAAACGGAAGTGTAAATAAATTATAGATCTTCAAACAATATTATACAAGGATCCATTTTTACTTACTATCATAACAGACTAATATTGCGTTTTTCTCTAACTGTGTAACATTAATAACATGAAGGTTTTCCCTTCTTGGTATCACAGTGGCTGTAAAAATGGAAGAAAATAATAACAAGTATACTTTTTAAACTTAATTAGTACGTAATAACAAAGAGAAATATACCAGAACCATCCATATCTTCCAATTCATCACTGTGAAACCAACTTGCCCCCGAGTTCATATTAATTAAATCCAACTTCAATTTATTTTGCTGATATGGTTGTTTCACAGACACGCACACCATCGGGTATTCCATTTCGGGTGTAATTATAATTTCAAATACGTTTAACGGTGTCGGTAGTGTACACTCGAAATGTTTTAACAGCATAAACTTATTAAGAGGATCGTACCATTGCATTAAAAATATTCCGGTCGGCATTGCACCACATAAATATTTATACCTGTGTTAAATATTTTATTGATTAATGCATTACATAAAAGAAAAAATTTAATATTTATTCACTTACCCGTTATATGGATTTCTTCCTACACAACACTTGGTACAGCCTTTTGTGTCTGGTACCTTAGTAGTTAGGGCAAACTTCCTAGGTACTAATCTCTCAGATATTTTGTTCATATGCAATGAAAACCTGTGAGTCTGCTTGCTTTGCATCGCTAATAAATCGTGTCTATACAATTGTGGAGTTTTTCCTACAATTTAAGATCAGTACTGTGTATATAATAATTACAAAATGATACCTTATATTATTAATATCTTACCCGATAAAGACATGAGAACATCTTTAATGACATACATCCAAATCGTACGTCTGGGATACAATTGATCTATTGCAGTTTCATGAAGTTCATTTAAATTTAAATTATAAATCCCCTCCTCTGCCGCGATTAATAAATGCTGATCTCTCGTATCTGGATGAATCCAGCTTGCGGTACAATGTATTCTTAACGGACATCCATTAAATACCTATACAAAGATTCCAATATTTTTCCAGATACGAATTAGATTATTACTTTTTATGATTAATTGGAATGAGATAAAGATAGATAGACTAAACTAACTTTCGAGAAACATGCACCCATATGAACCTTGGGTGTTGGTGGCAGTCCATTGCTGATCGGTCTAGGAGGTGTATGGCGTTTTCTGTCCCTTCTTCTTGGAGGAACAGGAGGAGTATCAGATAATAAATCTGGGCTCATACTTTCTCTGTCTCCTTCATCCGGCATCTCATTTTGACCTACAAAAAATTGGTTTAATGATTAAACGAACTATTTTTAATGTACTGAAATTGATAATATAATTATTTTAGAAAAAGAGAAACGAATTTTAGAAGCATGCTAGTAGTGGGGGTAGAATTATAGAAATTCATATTAAGGAGCCCTCTTAGGAAAAAAATTGTAACCTATAGTTTTAAATTAAGAATTAGGGTGCTTTTCTACCATTTGATTGGAGAGTTTCTTCTCTAGGACCACTGTCAGAAAGGGATCGTTGACGTTGCCCATTGACAGCAGCTAAGGACTGAGCACTGTTCACTAGACCATACAACTCATCCACAGAGCTGTGGCGCCTGGGACTTGCTTGCGATCCTAAGCAACGAATCTACTTTTTATACTATTGTCTTGATACTTTTCAACTTTCAGTATTTTCAAATCACTTAATACTATCAAACTACTTTGATGTGTAACTTGAAACTAATACACTTTTGCCATTTTAATTCAATTGGTCTTGAGTTTTACAGATTTATAAGAAATAATTAGCAAAGATTAATATGCATCTCTCATGCAGTATTTTATATTAATAAAATGGCTGCATAATTTAGTAGAAAATAATTATAAGAATATGTGCTTACCTGACATATTATAATATGGACAATGTACTTCACAATCATTTGATGACTCTCCAAGAGGAAGGGTAGCTCTGGAAAATAAATAGACCAGCAATTGTTAAGAAATATTATATATCAATGAAGACAAGTGTATTAGAAATTTTCTTTTTTAAAAACAAATGCTACTTTGTTGTTAGTAAATTATAAATAATCTTTAAAAAATAATTGAGAAATATGTATTAATAATAATAATTAGTCAAGAATTTGAAAGAAACATAGCATTGTTTATGAAATCGAGAAAATGCAATGAAAAAATGTTAGAAGGTAAAATCAACATATACAAAATCATGGAGTATTAAAGCATTTGTTATCATATTTAGTGATTGTTAGTAATTATTTAATAAGCACTGGTAGGTGTTTTTGGAAGAATATAGTGTGTCTTATAAGAATTGGTGCTTAGAAAAAATGATATGTTTAAGCAAATGTACAACTGAATTTATTAATACAATGATTATCAATGAATAAATCAATCATTAGGGAAAAGACTTTAAAATAATACTATTTCAAAATTATATATGGGTTCTCTTTAAAATATCTGACTTCCCATGAATTTTATGTACATTTAATTTTGTAGCATCCTATGTAATTGCTACAAATAAAATGTATCAATGAATTATTTAAAACTAAACTTAAACAATTATCATAAACAATTTGTACTAAGTAAAAGGCAATTATTACTTTCAGCTAAAACTAACAAAAACAACCGAACTGTATGTACAACAAATAGATGAAACAGCCTACTATTACATTTTATCGTTTACTTACTGCAGGGAATATAGCTGGTCGCAATGCCCACCAACCATCGACATTGCATTCCCCCTGCACACATGAAACTATAATCATATACTATAAAACGATTACACATTCTTTTTGTTATTAATCCTGTAGAACTCTTTGTCTATGTATTCATATAATTACTTTTTTATACATAAAGTGATTCACTTATATTTTATGGGGAATATATGGGTAATGGTTCTCAGTCAAAATAATATACATGACTATGTTTAATCATAAATAAGGCATATCATGTAGTAACATTTATTAGCACAACCAATTAATTAGATACCATTTCATTTGCTTTTATCACAGCTGATTCCTTATCATCACTAAATTACAAAAATATAGTTGAAACATATGTTCAAAATCTTAATCTCTCTGTAACAGATATATAAACTTCCACCACCAATATGGTTAACAGTTGTAAAAATTAATTCTAAAAAAAAAAAGGAAAGAAAGAAGTTGCATGCAATAAACAACATTAAAAACATCTATTGCTAAAGAGCCATACTTTCAAAGTATAGACTCCAAAGTTACCATATTTACATACATGTATTGAGTTATATTTATATCTATAGGAAGTTGTACAGGGAATATAAATAAAAGGTGACTAATAGGAAGAATCAAAGAAATGCATAATGCAAAATAGCTTTAATCAATTTTGATGCATTAAATAAAATGCAAAAGAAAAGATATTAAACAAAAAATCGTTAAGTAAATCTTAATAAGTTAGTAAGAAGCTGCTGAAAAACTAGAAGATTTTAATACAAGGCATTAGGAAATATATGTGCCAGGTGCAAGGTGCAAGGGAAAAGGGTTACCTGCCAATACCTTAGCAACAACTCCTCATCAATGTACTGCAATAGACTCCTGTTGGGAGAAATTATTAAAATTACAAACTGATCAGAGAAATTAAAGCTATGAGAATTAAAATGAGCCGAGAAATTCGGATAAGGATCAGACGTAATATAAGGATAATGTAACAATAATTTCAAGATACTATACTAATTCAAGATTAGGATTTATAATAATAACAATTAGATTATAAATTTCAAATTTGAATAAAATATATGTATATAAACATGCCAAATTTTATTGTGTCTCATTAAATCATATTATTTTCTATTCATCATTCATCAATTATTGAATGCATAAAATATTATGGAAACATATACAAAATATCAGTCTTTAAAATGATGTTTTTTATGAAAGATATGGAAATAAATTTAACAAGACAAAAAGATCTTTATATAAAAATAAAATACACAAGTGTGATAATAATACTTACGTAACAGTACTAGTGAATACATCAAGACTTTTTTGAACTTTCATTTCAATCATGCACTACTTAAACTAATTTATACACCAGTCATCACATGCATACTTTGTATGTAGTATGTACTATTTAAAAAAATCAATCATTTGTAGAATATAAATAAACAAAAATATTAATTATTTATAAACTATAGTATCTACGAAAAAAAAAATATATATATATATAAAGAAAAAATCTATAATCACTAGCTTCATGCCTTAGATTTTTAGTCACTTTCTATATCAATAATTAAAATGGCATGCAAGTCTACTTTAAAAATCATAATATATATACTTTAAATTAAATAAAAATGTCATTCCATCTTGCTTGTAGTTTTAACATATTTATATATCTGGAATAATATTAATGTCAAATTTTCTTAGGTAACAATTCAAAATTGTATCATATCTTCACACCAAACTACCTGTATTTCATTACCTTAAACTCATATGAAATATCTCTGTGTCTGTATTGCCTTGATGCGATTCTTTACTATCTGTTGTATCTGTTGTAACGTTAGCGGCAACAGTACTGATACAAAGATAAACTATATCATGTCTAGGAAGACTACAGAATCATTAATATAAGGCAATCAAAACATCATAAATTGTTTCCATTAATTTTTTACATGACACAAGGAATAAGAATTATGCAAATAATTGCAATAAGCTAAAAAAAAGATCTGAAGTATCTTTCAAAAATAATATTGGGTTGTTAGATCTTTGGAAGCGTTAAATTTACAAATTTACTTTTCGCTCGTCACCATTAATGGTCGATGCGCTGTATACAAAGCGGAAGCAAACGTGCCATATGCATCTCGACCTTTGTTAGATCAAAATTGCTGTTTTGCTTTAAACAGTTCTTAACTATGTAACGAGATTAAAATTTATATAAAATCTTAATTAATTAGATAGTAATCGTTAATTATTATCCTGTTTAAAAGACAGGAAATCAAAACAGCAATTACCATATTAGTGGAAGGATCTTAAAGCATCCCCTCCCTGAATTTTCCAGGACCACATATCGATTTACATAATTAAATAGATTTATTTTAAATATGCTTACTTTTCCTGAACGTCTTCAAACGCTGACCCGATACCACAATCTGGATGAACATCACAGTTATGAACAGACTAAATAGTTAAACATAGAAATATTATTTTAAATATCTTATTATATAATATAGGAAATAATATAAAAAATATTTTTTATAAAGTGTGAAATCACCTTGACGTTATTCATAATATCCATGATATCCCAAGATGGGGTAGCATCCACAGAAGGAGAAATCGCGTCTCTTTGTAACGTTCCATCAAGATTAATTTGGTCTGTAATACGTATGTAATTCGTATTTGCAAAAAAGGTAGAATATATACTTGAATATACTTGTGTTTACCATCAGTGTCTAATTGTGGTATAGGACTTTTTGGTCTAGGTCTCGCAGTGTGACGCGATGCTATCCTCTGCGGAACATTAGGTACAGCTCCATCTTCATCTGCTTCTAAATCAGTGAACATATGACTAGGATTCGATACTTTCTGCAACAATTCTAGAGCTAAACGTTTACTCATTTCTCCTTGAAAAAATGCGTGCTGAAACGAAAGTTTCTATTCAAAATATTTTCTATAAAATTTGGGGACGATTTCAATGTATATTATACATATTCTAAAGAAGAAAATAACCTGCAGTAATTTTTCGGCGGTCGGTCGTTTTTTGGGATTTTTAGTTAGAGCAACTTTCACGAAATTATGGAATGTTGGACTCCATTTGTCACGATCCTTTAACGTAGGTGGTTTAAAGCCAGATTTGGACATGAGAAAAAGAGCTCTCATTGGATGTAAATCAAACATAGGTGGTTGCAATTCAGCTAATTCTATTGCAGTAATACCACAAGCCCAAATATCACAAAGTTGATTATAACCACCCTTCCTTTCTACAGCTGCAACCTACAGAAGTTTAAAGTATAGACTTCTAAAAGGTCTCTATAAAAATATTTGAGAGTATCAAGATACCTCAGGTGCCATCCAGTAGGGAGTGCCAATAAAGCTTTTTCTCTTGTTAATAGTTGCGGTAATCTGTGCTGACACACCAAAGTCAGCTAGTTTGACATCACCAGCTTCAGTCAGTAATATATTGGCACCTTTAATATCACGATGCATTTTTCCCATGCTATGCAAATAAGCCAATCCCAAAAGGGTTTCTCGACACATGTATGCTATTTGTATTTCTGATAATGGTCCAGTAACTATAATATTAAAATACTTTTTAATACTTCAACATATCCCAGGAATGTGCTTTCAACATAAATACTTCCTTTTTATATGTTAATTAGAAATTAAAATATTACAGAAGGGTAATAATAAAATACATACTGTGATATATATCCTGCAAGGAACCACCTCCACAATATTCCATACAAATCCATAATTTATCCCTTCTCAAGTAACTTCCATAATAGGCAATAATGTTAGGATGTCTGCAATCTTTCATCATTAAAATTTCTTGTTGAATTATTGCAAAATCATCCCCTAAAACATTTAAATAATATGTATATCATATCACATAAATTTTTATTCATTCTTTGCAGTCTTGTTATATTTATCAATAAAAACATTCAATACACTACTGTGTGTATAAAATTAGATACCTTAAAAATATGATACGAAGTTTAAATGGTACATTAAAGAAACATCATATTAATAACATTAAATTAAACATTAACGTTAAACTAAAATTATTGAACATTAAATTAAAATGTATTTTATTTGTGTATAGATATAAAATAAATAATCATGAATAAATTAACAAATACAATTTACAAATACAATCAATGAGAAAAGATATGTTAATATATATTCATGAGCTTTTTATATATTGTTATAAAAAAAATAAAGATATAAGCTTGCAAGCTTTTACTCAAATATATATTCTTTACTGAAAAGTTAAAAATACACAAAAAGGAAAGTTGAAAAGAATGGTGCAAGATGTAGATCAATCATTGTTTGACTAATAGTAACTTGATTACAAAAAGCAATATAAAGAAGCAGTTTGAAATCTCAGTTAATCAACTTTTACTTAATCATAGAAATAGATCAAGAATGCAATTGATCACTCATATCAATGTTAATTCTGGAAAATCTTTAGTGAATTAAAACTTAAGTGGTTAGAAAAAACAGTTTAAAAAACTGGAAGGACATACCTGGTTCCAACTTGATAACCTTAATTGCAGCTAGGTCATTCATGGAAAGTCTTTTGGCCTGCGATAAAAAATTGAATAGTATGTAAACATAACGTGTACAATGGCGAATATAAAAAATGTATGAGCGTATGAACCTTGTAAACATCTCCGTACGTTCCGCTGCCTATCCTCTGAATGAGCTCGTACTCATCCTGTGGATTTCTTCGGCTTATGTCACTGGACAACGCGTTTGCGTTCAAAGCCATTCTAAAACACGTATCCCCGCCGGTTTACCAGCTAACGAGCGTAATTAATATCTACAAAAGAAGATTAACGTTAAAGTGTAAAAACACATTTGTTCGTCAGAATGTCACTTTCGTCGAAACGTCGCCATTGTTCACAACAGCTCTGAGGTTAGTCACGACTGGGTAAGCGGTTTCTGCGATACATCGATCAATCGATCTTGTATCTCGTAATGAAACACGTTGTACTCCTTTTTTCTGATTCATAGTTTTGCATTTTTTCTTTCTCGAAATCCTTAGTATAGTAGAATTTTTAGAGTTTTTGAAAATTTTATGAGTTTACTAATAATTATAATTTAAAATTCTCCACGTATAGATATTTTTATATACCTGAAAATGAAATATATTAGAACTCGTTTCTTTCTTATTCATATTTTTATGTTCTTTTCTTTTTCAAAATATTTATTATAATATATAATTTTTAGAGTCTTTGGGAATTTTATGAATGTATTGATAATTATAATTTATAAAACTATATACAGGTGAGTTAATATACCTCAACTTGATTTGCATTTCTCAAAATTACACAGATCGTTCGAAAATTGCATGAATATTTCACTTCTAATTAAACTAAGTAATGTTGTAATCGTTGAATTATATAAGTTTCCAGAAAATGATAAGTGACTCCAGAGATATTATTCAGACCAAGATTGGTGATATAATATTGGGAACATAGGTCAGAGATAAACGTTATCATGAATAGTTTTAGATAGCGATAGATAGCAGCTACCTAAAGAATGCTTTCTTTTCTAATATAAGGTTTAAAGATTACTAAATGGATTAATATATCATTTAAAGCAAGATTGGAAATATGCTATTGGGATATTCATCAGAGACAAATGTTATCACAAGTAGATAATCAACATTCTTTAAGCGTGCGTATGATGACTATATACGTATATATAGGAGCGTCCGACATCAACTTTACTTTTGAATAAGTCTAACAAAGGATAAATTGAATTATTCTTTTTTAAAATATCAATAAATAGCTCAATTATAACTCAAACATACTCTAGACTAATAAATAATGCAGAACTACGTCAAACGTAGCGTGTACTTTGTTGTAAGGATACGTGCACGTACTTCCATTCATAGCCATGAAAAGCACTTCCTTCAGAAACGCAGGGAGTGTATTTTCCCATAGGGGAAATCTCATTTTCCCAAGAATACAAAAACAACCTTGAATAGTCACGATTAATGCAACAGCTCAGACTAATTCTTACGATATTTCTAAATTCTATTTATTGCCATAAGCTCGTTATATCGATTAAATGGATAAGCAATTGATTAGATCTATTAACAGCTCATTAACGCAGTTATTAATTCGTGCGTCTATGAACAGGCGATTCATCGGTTTCCCGCAAAACTGCTTTCACTCTGTATTAAACTATCGATTTATCAGTCACGGTATTTATTGCTACATAGTTAAACTTGTTAGTAGTAATTATAAATTATCTCGCGAACGAAAATTCCGCGCAATATGATTCCCTTTACTGAGTTTCGACGGTCGCATTGGGAATAGAAAGTAACGCGCGTCTCTGTCGGTAATTTATCATAATTCATAGAACACATTAATAGGAACATAGCTATTTCTTTCCATTAATTTAGGATATATGAACTTAAAATGTAATAATGCATTAAAATACGTGCATTTCCTCTTCCTTAAAACTTATCAAATTGTTTGCCAACCCTCCTTGCATAATCAAATTAATGTTATTAATAAAGGTTTACAAGTTACAAATTAATAGGCTCTCTTGTAGTAACAAGTTTGATAATAAAGCTAATGAAATAAACAAATATCAATATCTAATTATCCTATTTGATGTAAAATTGTAAAATTTCGAAAAAGAAGTCTATAACCCACAACTTACAACTTTCCAACGTACTAATATTATTAATTGATAAATGATTGTGCAAAAGGGCCTCGGTAGTTAAATTACGTTTAGTATAGACTTGTAATGATCTGTAAGGAGCTTTCTCTTGAAACTTTGTGGAGACAAGTTTGGGGGTTGGGTTGGAAATTGGAGGGGGCGCGGTAATGGTGTTTCTCCCTGGCTAAGCACAAAAATAAAAAGTATATAGAACAAATGGGCGGCTAAACTCGCCGTAGCATGGCATAATGATAACACGCTCGAATAATAAGGATAGCCAACAGAGGAGACAGGGTTGGATACGCACGCGTGGGCCTGCGTTTGGGGCCCGTCTTCCGCTTCCACTCCGATGAACGTTCTGGCTTTAACTCCAGCTCAGTTCCACTACGTGCTTCCAGCATTGTACTCCAACGTCCTAGATACACTCGATTTTACGTCCAGCGGGCTGTTTTCTTTTCTTCCTTCTCAACCATCGCTGCTTCCTGTATGTAATACGTCTATTCTCCTCAAATTATAATACTTAACAACTAATACCCAGCTTCAATAACATTTGGAAAAAAATTGCGTGTTGTGAAAGTTTAATCGTGTCTAGCGAAGAACTTTGTTATGTGAAGTTGTTGGTTCAAAATTTCGATGGTGGTTTATACAGTAATCCCTATTTAAAAAAAAACAAAACATTTTAAAATAATGATATACAAATCTAAAATATGAAAAAAGATTATATCGACAGTAAAATCCTCAAGTTTGTAAAACTTACTTACGATGATATACAGCTGATTCTTATTGTTGAGCATAAGATGCAATGGAATTCAATTTTCCGCTACAAATGATAACGAAAGTGATCAAATTATTATAACGTATCAAAGTTTTAATTAGATGAAACATGACTTTGTTTGATCGAGACTACTGTATCTAGGAAAGATCAAAGAAGATTAATTTACTTGAATAAGTTTTGAATTGATACTTATATTGGTGTTTTGTGGTAGTAAAAAACAGTGTAAAAAATTTAAATTTCATAAGGGATGTGAAAATGTTTTGGTCAACTACCGACGATGGCGCTGCAGGACCTTCGCTGTCACGGAGTTTCCTTCGAATTTCACAACAGCTCACTTCGTCTTATGTTCTTCGATAGAAAGAATCTCGATGTTGATTGTAGACTATTGGATTAACTACGAACATCAACGCCATCTCTGAAACTATAATTTCAAATTTATTTGTTAATTTAAATTAAATGTGACAAGGTTTTAATTTTTTGCAAGTGTCGAATACTTGTGTTTTAAATTCCATCGAACTGAAGCGTACAGTGTTTGTAGTGAAACTATTTTATTAAAGAAAGGAAAAGATATCCTAATCTTTTGTTATAAATAATTTTTTTTAATTCAATATGTACAGCTAATTGTGAATACGGAAGAAATAACAAAGTGACGTGATTTTACGAACTTTCGAAACAGCTCTCTCATTGTGATTCATTTGCCGCTAATTTCCTATAACTATCAATAATCGATCTAACAATCGATTATTTCGAAATAACATCGATTACATCAACGAACTAAAAACTGTAGTTATTTTGTGATACAATTAACAACGAACTTATGTCCACAAAATAAAACAATACAAGTGAACAATTAAAAGAACAATTAATAATTCATCTGAAATTAAAATCGCTAACAGGAACAAGACTAAAGCGTTGTTGATAATAAATATCCAAATAATCAATGCAACTTTATAGAATGAAATACACTCTATAAAAAATACACAAGTAAAATAAATAATTTTAATAAACATAATAAATACACAAGAAGTATCTCAACGAAGAAGAATTTTCAAGAAATATTCATTTAATTACAAATTAAATTACTACCTTCCAAGATGAAATTCGCTTATCTCCAAAGCATCACTGTGATCATATTTCTGATAGTTGTTCGAATTACTGGCGAGCAAAGATTCGCGGAAACTCCAGCCCTGTATCAAGAAGTTTCCTCCGGTGACGATGTACAATTAAGGTGCAGGGTACAGGACAAACGGGGTCAATGTATATGGCAGAAGGACCGGAAACCAGTAGGTATGCATCCAGATAAATACGAATGGGCCAGCGGACGCGGCAGCGATTGCACCCTTCTTATCAGGAGAGCCTCCCTCGACTTCGATGACGGCTACTGGGAGTGTCAAGTCACCTCTGGTGACTTCACGCGACAGGACGCCTTAACTTCTTTACCATCTCGTCTTTTAGTTAGGGGTAAGATTTGGTTGAAAAATTTTTAATAATTTTTCTATATAAATTGGCGGGGTTTGATAGTTTGATTAATCGCCGCTAGAGGGATAATACTTAATTCTTATTCTCGCAAGCTTTTAATGATTGAATTTTCTATACAGGGTACCCTGAATGAATCTATTACAAGATATTTTCTCAGAAATTAATGAAGTTTGAAGCGAGTTTTAGGGGGTAAAAAAGAGAGGTTAGAATTGTATTTCAATGGAGAATTTCCTGTAAATTGTATTTCAGTGGAAGGTGATATCAATCTCTTTATTATTTGGATAGGTCTTAGCAAACTGAGTAACATCTACCATTTTTCATTACATATAGTTATATCAATTGTTTTTTCTAGTCATTTCTACGGGAGAACTTCTTTTGTATAGTTTATAAGCTTCATTATATTTTATAATAATTCTTATTTTGTTTTCTTGGATTTTATTATTTACTGTAGTTTTTTACTATTACTTTCTTGTAACTTTAAAAATTTTGTTAACCTTTTGTATCTATTTCATATATATTTCTAGATACAGTTTTTACGCTTTGTTTAAATAAAACATTCCATAAATTGGAGTCTGTATTAAGTTGAACATACTGTTTTTGTTTATTTGTTTTTATTATAACTTCCCATTTATCTTTTTTTATCTATTTCTTGTGTGAAGCGCCATTTGTTAGTTAAGAAAATTGATCTCTAAAATCTCACTGAACATTCTTTTTTTTCTATATTCACTGAACTCTAATCCCACATAAATAGCGGCACGTTTTACGCTTCCAAAAACCTTCCACTTCACTCTACCGCCATCGTCAACCAAATTTCCATGACCTGCACCAGACCAAGAATTTTTTCATCCACTCGAGAGCCGATCTTCGATACCAGCCTGCATCTGTACTATATCACCATCTTAAGATATCTAGAAAAAAAATATGGAAACAGGTTGCTCAGTTTTTCTAACGAAAATTCATCTCTAAGAAAACACTTAAAGATCTTGAAATTTATCAACCCAGTAATCCAATTTCCACTGAAACACGGTCAGGATTACCGCTTTAGATGGATTGCATATTAATGTACATATGTAATATGTTTAAATTAAGAAATCAACAGAGGCTACTTAACGATCTGCACACAACATTCCACGAAACGTTAAATCGTTAAATAAGTGTGTACACTTAGTTTTAACGGAACGTTGGCTTTTTACGTCACCCTGACAGGTATCGCTTTCCACAAGCGTGAATGATCCTCGACGAATCGTACAAGTGGCTAATCAGATTCTGACGCCTCCTCGAATGGAACGATGCAGATTTGGCGGTGCAATTTAAAATTCGCTAAACGCGGGCAACGGTGTGATGCAACGTGAACCAGTCGTTCCGTTCTACTTTCCTCTTAGCAGCTTGGATTTTTGCAACAACCGCTTTAACGAAAATTTTCTGTAGAATAGAATAACTCGACGTGCATAGGATATTTTGATAATCATAGTATAGTGGACAAGGGGGTGAATCTATGTGAAAGAATAAATATATAATAAATGTATAATAAATTGTTTTCATACGAGGGTTTGTGACTTTTCAAATTTGCCTAGTATATGTGAAGCAGGAATTAAAATAAGTCAAAAGTGCAGAATAAAATCTTTCCGTGTAAGGGTTGGTATTCAAGAAAGTAATGTTTGGAATTTTCTTGGGAAATTTCGCTTACTCGCACAACAGTAGAATATTTAATAGATAACATAAATTTCTATTCAAGTTCTATTTCTTTAGTTATATTAATAAAGCTATAAATTTGCATAAACATGTATAGTGTACTTACTGTGAGCCATAAAGAATATTCTTTCATTTGATATAAATGTGCTAGGGAAAGTAAAATGAAAGTGGATAATTTGGTTTAATTGCAATTATGAATGAAAATAAAAAAATTGAAAGTTTCTCTCTTATTTCCGTTATTATTAAATGTCAATGTATTTCAGTAAAACCCCGCAAACCACGGTTGGAATATGGAGGGACGATTTTAAACTCCGCCCTAACTCTAAGGGAAGGCCAGGAAGTTACCATTTCCTGCGTATCAAGATATGGAAACCCACCGGCGCTTATCAAATGGTGAGTTCAGTTAATTACTCCACTATAAGGGTAAACGTAGCCCAAACTTGCATAATCGTTAGTAGAGTATACATGTTTCCTACATTCGCATTTTATATCTCTTATTTCATTTGACAAATCTTATATTCTCTATCCCATATCTAATATAGGTACACAATCCTGTCTTTCTGCAAACAACATTTTGCTATCCCACAAGATGAGATTCGTCTGCCACAAATTTTCCATAAAAAAATCCATCATTATATATTACAGTAAAAAGATTCTTGTGATATCACTAAAAGAATCGCCTTTTAATTACTAAGTAAAATTACTAAAATGTATAATTTGATTAAAAAATGGTACAAGACTGTATTCTTTTCAATTCACTTCTGGTTCTCTGGTTACATTCATTCCAATTGTACACAGCAACAAAACACTTGTGCAACGGTACTGGCTATATTCCTATCGTTTTTGCAACGACTTTCGTTTCAAGGTATGCTAACTGTAGGCGAAATTACGTTGTTACTTTTTAAATCTAAATAAAATGTTAAGCACAAATCTAATAACAGAAATCAATACTTCATAAAAAGCAAAAATGAGGTCATGCCGCGTCAAATTGGTCAGTTTTTTTGTCAGTGTCATGGACCTTACTTAAAATGAAATATGATGTAATTTATATAAAATTAGGAAGAGTTTATGTCATCACTCTGCTGATGTCGAATTTTTTAAAGAAATACACTTAGGAATTTTTATCTCAAAAATTATTTGTCGAACCGAGTTGCTTCTTTTTTAGTTTCAATGTAAAAAATCCGACATATTCAAGTCAATTATCTTTTACAATGAAAGATTAATTTTACAATATTGAAAATTATAAACAATATCTTAGTTCATAAATTTCTTCTTGAGAATCAGGGGTCTAAAACTTAAAAAGAAATGCGACCACGTTCCTGGAAGATTCAGCTATAAAACAAATCCCTTCTTAAAATGGAATTATCTAATGTAATTCTATGTTATTTATTGGGAATACTCCAATTGGCATTGACAAAAAGAATTCCCTAAAAAGTTTCCTCGTTTATACAACTAGACACTGACGTATACTTTGTATTTGCAGATTTTCTGGTTTCATGAAAACAGTGTTTCGCTAAGAGATAAAAAGTGCGGTTCACAAAGGCTATAGACGAGGCAAGAACCCATAACGCGGTGTTTACGCAGCGGAGAGGTTTGCTAGCAGCTTCTTTTTTCGTGTCATGGTCTAGTGATCAGCTAGCCACACCTCATCTAAATTCTTATAACATAAAACTCACTTCTGTACCGATCATCATGTTCGCATGAGCGGCGTTACAATTTCCACGATCGCCTGGCAGCCGTGAATGCACGTGTTACGCCATGTAAACACATCCACGGAACGTTTTAATCTGATCTTCAAGCGATATATAATCCTAATTGCGAATTTAAGTCGCTACTTTCATTTTGTGCCTTTGGTATAGCCGCTAAAGTTATAAATGAGATTAATACGTATTGTTCAATTTAGTCCACATTTGATAAATTTACGACTTAATTTACTAGGCTATCTGAAAAGTTTCTTTCGTTTCATAAGGAAATAATAGATACACAATGATTTTTTGTTATATATTATTTTACTGAATTATGTATGATCCTTTTTCTCTATTGGAACAATGAATCATACATAATAATATTTGTAATTTAAAGTGGCGGACAAAAGAGTGGTTATAAAAAGTTTGTTAAATATAGCATGTTTTTAGATTTTTGTTTCAGATCTTTTAAATTTATTTTTTGGTCATTTATAATGAAAGAATTCATAACGAACAATGAATAAATATACTGTATACTATGGAATTAGATGACTATCGATAATGTGGTAAAAATATTTAGTACAAAAATAAGATACTAAAATTAATAGCGTGTCAATTTTAAACTTTCTTCCATCCGTAACTACATATTACTTCCGGTGCACTGAATTTTATAGCATGATTATTTCCTGCGTGAAATTAGAAATCTGTTGGCTCTTTCGAATTGAGAAACAGATTAATTAATTGTATTTAGGTATTTGAGAAGTTTATTCGTTTTTGTCTATAAAAATAAAAAGGATATTTTGTGGCCGAAAATTTCATCGCTATAGATCGTTAATCGCTTAGTTAGAAAGCGCAAACGATTTAAGTTAGACGAGGAAGTGGTACGAGTGGGGGACAAGTTTCACTGGTAATTGTCCGTGAATCGGATTCGATCCGTTTCATTTTTCACGGAATTCTATCTCTCAAGCGATTAACGTTTATTTCAAGAATTGAAAAGAATGATTTCTCTCTTCGCTGGAAGTCATTCCATAAAATAAAAAAAAGCAAGTAAAAAGAATTCTGCTTCTAAGCTAGCGGCAAATTAAATTACTAATAAATTATACTAAAATAGAACATTCACTGTACAGATTTTTTGTTCAAGTAGAAGGATTTAAGAACAAAAATTAAGTAGAAGATTTCTATCACATTTCAAGATGTAATACTTCATGGGACAATAATATGAAAAAATATATAAATATATCTAAACTAAAAGTAAAGTATTGTAATATTTAATAGATAAAACAAATCTCTATTTAGGTTTCACTTCCTCCATTCGTTTAATCATTTTGGTCAAAATATGAATTTCCATATACATCCGCAGTATGAATAGTAAGTTTTCATTCGAATCGATTCACAGTCTGCGCATTTCACTATTCTATGTATTTTTTATGTTTTCGGTGTCATCAGTGCTTGTAAAAGAGCAACTCACAGGAAAGAGACTCGGAACAGTGAATTTCACTTACGTATACCGGTGTATTCTTTTCCCATTCGTTGGAAACGAATCGAATGTGGAACGAAGAGAGCCAGAACAGTTCCTAATTTCACACTTGGTCTTGCGTTCGTAGAAATGATGCCGGCCGTTGCAACGGGGCGAGGTAGCAGCGACTCTTTTTACAGCCTTTAATAGGCACGCTGTCTAAATAATTCGTTGTTTCTCATATTTTTTCCTTTTACTCTTTGTCTCTTCCTCTTTGCTCCATTTCGCTGAAGATGCAGCGGCAAGCGTAATTATGCAGATTGTAGCCATAGAAGCGGAGAAACTGGCCGCGGGCATAGTCTCCCCGTGAATCACTCTAGAAAGGGTATAAACCTTGAATATCGGTATTCGTGGGAAATTGCTAAACCGCTTTCCGGAAACTTGGGCGTAACGGCTGTTGCGATTAGGATGGAGCAGTGACGACATTTTCTGCCTGCAATTGTAGAAATTTTGTTAGAATATATCAAAAGTTTTGTGGATAATTGGGTTCGAAAATGTTTAGTTGATTGGTAAGATTATAAATTATTTTTTTTTTGTTTATGGTTGCGGAAGTTCTTCCAAGTATTTTGTATGAAAGAATAAGTATATTGAAGAATTAATTTGAAGTTATTCAGAAGAGTATTATTTGTTTGTTTAGCATTCAATTAGGAGCTTGGGTCAATGAAATAGTTTTGATGTGAAACTCTTAGAGTTTCATGTTAATAATTGATCATCATATTAAAATATTGTAAATCTTTAATGATGAACTCTAGTTAATGTTTGTTTGTAACACCAATTACTCTGTGATACATTTTCATTCATGCCAAATGTAAAGTAGCTAAATCCAACGTAAGAACAAACTTCAAATATATTAAAAATATTTAAATAATAAGATATTAAACATACTTATGGAACCAACAATAAGCTGATAGATAGGTATTAAACATATGACTGGAACCAAGCATTAGCTTGATAGTTAGCTCTAGTAAACAGCAGAAGGATTAAAAAACAAGCTAATGAACAATATTGGAGTTCTAGTTATACTGCGGTAGATATGCAGTATGAATACATCATTCATTCTCCATAAGTATATGAGAACATCCTTGACTTACTTTCAGTACATGTGAATCTTAGCAAATATAACAATTCACCCTATCTATTTTAGAATTAACATGTATAAAACGTGTATGTATACTATCGAAAAGTTTAAAATCACTACATACTTCACATAATTTAAGAATTTAAGAAAAAAAGGTCGACTTAGAATTGGAATTCTGTTACCATAGGAAATCCTCTAGACAAAAATTTATCAAGATGAAGAACAATTTTCAATTAATAGTAAAATTAAATTTGACTATTTCCTAACATAAAAAGTAAACCTTGATTTACATTAATTTTAATATTAATAAAAATGTAATGTTAGAATTGTCAGAAAATTGAGAAATATGTAGCTGCGTCTAAAAAATGGTTTCAAACTTTTTACCCTTAGTGTATATTTATTATAAAAAAAAACTTTTTAATATCAATTGTTTGTTCTTTACACAGGTACATAGGAGGGGATGAAGTAGAGCCATTAAGGGAGCAGACAAACGCGACAGAAGTAGATAGTCCGAAAACCTGGGCAGCCCACAGCCTCCTCCGTGTCCGTGGACAAAGGGAAAACCATGGTCTACCGATTCGGTGCATCACGATGCATCCATCCAGCGTCGTTCCAACGTCTGCGGAAACACGACTGGATGTGCATTGTATGTATATTCCACGTACTTTTGTACAACTGATATTAGACAAGTTTCTATCGATGCAGAATAGAAACAATCGTAGTATTTGCAATTCACGCTACACTTCACTTTTGACCACTCCAGTGAATACACATCAGAAACCTATGGCAAATGATAATCTTTCCTTTCATAAAGTAGAAATCTAATATTAGATCTGAATTTCTAATGATTGGAGTTAGGTAGATGATTTGACCAGTTTCTATTTGTAAGAGCACCCTGTTTGGAAAGTAGCAATGTTTTGGCGTAAGATATTAGAAAAATGGTTATTTGTGTAACTTATGAGTTGGGATTTTTCCTCTAATTTTTTTATCTAAAAGTCCTTAAACATTGATTATATTAATTGTGCTCCATCAAAGGAAAAACAATGTTCAACCATTACTAAATTATATGTATATCAAATTTCAGACTCTCCAGATGTAAGAATAGAAACGAAGCCCCGACTCCTGGTGGCGGCACTGGAGGATTCGGCCAGCTTTATGAGCCTGAAATGCTTCGCGGATGGCAATCCCAGCGGAACGATCAAGTGGTTCAAGGATTCAACTCCCATCGCGGTAACAAGCAACGTGGTGGCGTTGATGCTAAACAGAACGCAGCAGAACGGCACGATGACCGGCTCCGAGTTGAGATTCGAGCCGGTCAAGAGAAACGATGCCGGTCTCTATTCTTGCAAGGCGGTCAACGTTATCGGTGAAAGCACCGCGGCTAACTATAGACTGGACGTACAATGTTAGTCCGACTTTTACCATGATACCTATTTCTTTTTCCTTCTTTTTCTTTTACGAACAACCACCATCGTGATCAACAACGAGAACACGTCAATTTGGCCACTTTCCTCGTCTAACTATGCTGCACTTTTGTTCCAAGCGTTTTTCAGACAGAGGAACAGTTGGATAAAATAACGGCAATTGTGTTCATTGACATGAACGTCCATTTGTCATTTATTAGCGGTAGCGTTACGGTTTGCTTTAAATAATAGTTATTGGGTTTTTCCCTGTGATGAAACGTGGCTTCTTTTTTAGACCACTGTAGTCTCCTTTCATTCAGAATAATTATTTCTTTAATCCTTCCGACACTAGTGCGACGATATTATCTGTTGCTAGATATTTTTCTGATACCACTGAGATCTATGACATACAATATCATGACAAATGGAAGTAGATTTTCTATTTAAAAAAAAAATTATGAGTAATATACCCGTTTTGCAAATTTGAGGAATCTTATTATATTACTGTAATTATTCTTGATTGATAGTGATCACCATCGATCATCTTCACATCTTATTTAAGTCTTCTATTTTCAGATAGTCCCAGATTAAAATCAGAAGATCCTACTTACAACGACACCGCGCAAAAATTCGAAGAAACAACTCTGCTTGGTACAAGCTTGGAACCCTTCGAATGTATAGATTTTGAAGCAAATCCTCCACCTCAATATCGATGGGTGCATCTTCGTGGTGGCATGACGGAGACCATCGAGAATCCGCTGCAGACCAAAGACGGTGGTAAACGTTTACATTTGAACAACGTGATGTGGTCCGACGAAGGGGAATATCGATGCGTGGCATTCAATGTGATCAACGGAGTGAGGAGAGAAATGCCCAGCGAGGCTCGTTACGTGCTCCACGTAACCGGACCGCCTGAGATACAAGCGAGGCCGTCTTCCGGTGGAAAGGGCATTTACGAGTCACTAGGATGGGCCGGAGAACCGGAACACACTTTAAAGTCTCGCTTTTGTTCGAGACCTCCGCCTAGACTCGTTGCTTGGCAATGGGGAAGCTCGCATATCAGAGCTGGCGAGTATCAAAATATGTTTGTTAATGGTGGAGCTTTCTAAAAAAAAAGGTTTATAGCTGCAGCATATGTTTTTTAGCCAAATAGACAATTTCTTCTTTTTCTAGGCGAGAGTATTCATCCAAAATACGAAGCACTATCATTAGAGCATATCAAGGAAAACGATATGCCAACTAATTGCTACTGGGCCAAGCTAATGATCAAGGATCTCCAAATAGAGGACGCTAGAATATACACCCTCTTAGTAGAAAGCGAAAAGGGTAGAGATTCCACTAATATCAAACTAACTATTCGTGACCCAACGGAGATGAGAGTAATTGCAGCAGCAGCTGCAGTAGGGCTATTGTTTTTTCTTCTTCTAGTATTCATTGCTGTATATTCAGTGTTAAGGTTGAAGAATAGAAGATATCGTCGAGAAGAAGATGGTAGCATTGCTGCAGATGCATTATATAGCAATACACCTACAGCAGATAGACAGAAGAATGTGAACTCATCTCAAAATAAAGCGTATGTGAGAAAGACGAACACGGAGGGTGGATTGGCTGTTACGTATGATTATGATCAGATCACGAAGCAGGTGCGCGCCATGAGCCCAGAAGCACTGAAAGTCAGGCGAGCACCAGCTGTTCTTCAACCACCAACCATTGTATAACTGTTGATATGCTCATTGCCATGACAATCGTCGATGACTGACGGTGAACTGTTCTATTGTGACTTATCTGTTACTGACCATATTGTGTAGGTCCGTCTTCGCTAAAAACAGGTCATATTTTGTATTACTTGTGATTGAAAATTGAAATAGCAGAATTCATAGACCCTCTATGGTAATGCTACAGAATCTCCATTTATTTTTTCCTTAAAGATGAAGTTTATGTAAAATTTGGCAATATTATTGGTATATTGCCACAAATAAAATTCAATAGATGTGATAATTTCATTACAAATGATATTGACTGTGAGTACTTGACTGATTGATTTGGAGGAATTTTCTATTTTATTAATTGGAAATTGAATTATTTGTTGTTGCTACTATTGTTACATTTTAAACTGATTTTAAGCTTTATTAATGTAATTTTGTAGTAAGTAGATACTAGATTTGTAATATTGTTTAAGCAACATAAATGCATTTTTATATCAATGTACTGGAATTGTATTTTTAGTATTTGCGTGACTGATCTCGTTGTTGAACATCGTTTCCCTTGTTACATACTCAGAGTCTTACATCGATACTTAATTTTGCGACGATATGTTTGTGTAAAAAAAGAATGCCAAATAATAAATATATGTACATATTAGATAATTACGTAAAGAAAATGCTACTGAGTGCTATAGGAAATACTTAGCTAATTTTAATAGTACTGTATATGATGAATCTTGCACTATAAAGTAACATTGTGTTCAGTGCAATAATGCAGCATTGCATCACATTAATTTAGTATAATGTATTGTTAATTCCAAAGCGTAATATTAAAAGATATTACAGTAAATTTTATAGAAATAGATTTTGGGATTTTAAATATATCATCTATTAATTTAAATTTCTCCTTTATTTATTTAATATCTTTAAACTTTCGATCATTGACATCTTGACGCAAAATAAGATGTCCTACGTAACTATGAAATAGCATTGATGAACCTACATAATACATAATCAATCTTTATGTAGTATTAAATACATTTTACACATTGTAATATTTCATCATAAAAAAGAAAAGATATTTATAATCGGTAATCTTCGAGAACGCATAATTTTTCCGCTTTTCTAAAAAAAAATATGATATGTATACATATCTCTGGTATTTTAATTACATTATAAATTCATTGGTCCCGAACAGGCGTTTCGAAATATATAAGTATTTGCAATGCATATATTACTGACATCTATAAAACTTAAACCTTACATTATTCGCGCAACTGCATATTCCTCTTCCATACACTTCAACTTTCCTCTTAAAGTCAGGTACACTTTAAATAAATTCAGTAACATTCATTGCGTGTAAGGTGTAATTCTAACATATTTCTTTTCTTTGTAGCTTTACGGTGCATCTAAAGAAATCAACGAAACAATTGAACGATCGTAATAACTATAATAAATTTCCATAAAGTCCACATGGTGCATAGTAGATTTTTCAAAAATGGAGGATTAATCTTTGTATAACAATGATTCTTTAAAAATTATTTGTCTAACAGTCGCTTTTCCTTCTCTTTTTAATATCTTTTTTAATCCCTGACATATCAGACATATTTGCACATTTCAACGCAAGTAAAAAAGAAAAATAATAGAAAAATGCAAGTTCTCCATATATATATATTTCATACATTCTATATTGACTTTAACATTTGAGTTGAACATGCCACAGAACTTCTTAGAAGTTATCGTTGTAATGTATACTTCTTTAATATCAGGGACTCATTCAGATATATTGCTCTCAAAATTAGGTCAAATTGTATACTATTAGAGTCAAATATTCTCTTCATTCGTGTTATGGTTTCTATATAGCTTTCTTTTTATACATGATCAACTCAATGTATTATTAAATAACGTGAACGATAAAGTTTAATTTGTATAGTACACAAAAATATATATAATTTACAGGAATCCTCTCATGTATCATGCTACAAAAATAGCACGTACACGTGTCTTTTCTGACTCGAAGGAGCTTAATCTCGGTTTTGTTCCATGAAAACTTGTACGCTCGTTACGGAGATATTCTGTATGCGTAAATATTGTCATCAATAGGATTACGATTGAGGTTTCTTGCGTCTGCCAAATAGATTACTTAAAACAGAGCTTCGTTTGTAATCGCGGTCCTTGCGATTATTACCCACGCTATGTTCACTTTCTGATCCACTTTCGCTAGTTCTTCTACTTTCCACGTTCGTGAGGGGTTGAGAATTTTGTGGAACTGCTGGAGGAGGTACATATGATGGCGGTAGAGAAACTGGTCTACCTGTGAAGGTTGAGTTATTCTGTTGCACACCCTATAACAGATAAAAATATGTTTTAAGATCTAAATTCTGAATTTGGTATTTTAAATTTTTCTTTATTCCTAACTTTATCTCCTTTTCTTCTTTTATTCCTATAGTCCTATCAACTGAATAAAGAAGGTAAATGAACAGTAATGGACCAATAGCTGCTTTGTAAGGATCTAATTAATTTTAATTGGTAAACACGTTTGAGTTTTGTATAAGATACTTTATGAATGTTCTTATCAAGAAACCAATAATTTAGTTATAAAAGAATTTATAATACTGGTTTCATGTTGGTTTCATGTTGGCTTTTCAATCTATTTAAATATATAATTACCTCTCTGGATCTTGTGATTCCATAAGAAACATTTCCATAAGCTGTAATAGAAAATAATATTTATTATTTTTTCCGTTAAGATGACTCTGTTAATCTTATGCAATTATTAACGCAGAAAACTTTTATCTTAAATAGATATTATTAGGAAGACAATTTAGGATAGATAAAAACACACAAAATTGGAAGGTTGAACAAAACATGCAAGAATGATTCACTGACAAACAATTAACAACGACTAACCAGGATCATGAGGAACACTCCACTGAGCTATTCTGGTTGGTGGAGGGGCACTTGATGGCAAGGGAGGTGCTAATTCTACAAAATAACGATATACAATGAAAACAAGGGATCTCCTACGCATACGTAAATGTAATTATGAGGGTTTCCTAAGTACCTTGTGAAGTATTAAGATCCGCACTACTTTGTCTATGCCAGGTTGTAGTCGATGAATACTGACTGGAACCGTTATGATTCAAGGTTGCGCTACGTTGTTGATAAAAACTGGATCTTCCTTGTTCTATGTCTGCAAAATCACAAGAATATCATATTCCAATTACTATTTCATATTTTTCTAATCAACTCATTCAAAGAAAGTGTATTAAATTAATATACCATCGCGTCTGTATTGAGGAATAGCTTCTGAACTAGGCGATCGCATTGGAATAGGAGGTGGTGCTCCTCTTGGAGGAATAGGTGGTTTATCTCCAGAATTTGATTGATACTGGTCCCTCTGATTTGCTAGTTGCTCTTGTTGTATCATTTGTTGCTGCTGTGCAAGCAATTGTAGCTGTCTGTGCATTTGCAAGAACTGTGTTTGAGTCTGAGGTGATTCGTTTCTTTGCGAAGCTATGAACTCAGCACTACTCTGTGATTCACGTTTCTGTTGATTTTGCCTATGCATCTGGAGAAATTCAATCTGCACGTTGCTTGCAGAGTGTTGATTCGGTACATCGCGTCTAATTACAGAATTCTTTCGTTCCAGTTCAGGAGTCGAAGCGTGACTGCTACTAGTTGAGACATTATCGTCAGTATGTTCTATAGACACATTCTGCAACCTCTCTAAACTTTCCTTTTGTGATTCGTCGTAACTTAATAATTGCATACTGGGAGGTAACTTGGCGTGGAATGATATCTTGTTCACCCAGTCCTCCATTTCTTGTTGACTTGGTGCCAAGAACAAAAATTCTGATCCATCTGTACATTTCAACCTGAATACGTTTTTCTTCTTGGTATAGTCATCCGCTTTCTCGCATATGGCATTGAAGATGGTGATAGGAGCAGTGGCTGCCTTGCTCAGTGAGAAATCTTCCATATCTTTGAAGAAACACAGAAGTTGTCCACATAATACAGTATAGTATTGTTTCCAGGAACGCACTGCTGCCTTCTTGCCAGCACTTTGAAGCTCGTGTTTCCTCTCTAACAAACCTTGAATCTCTACTGGTGGAAGGGCGTCCATATTCTCCATCCTTTGAAGTTTCCTGAAGCTCTGAGTCCTTCTTCTGGTCGTGAAACTGGGCGTTCTCTTCGGTTTTTTTGTATCTACCTTCATGCTCTCTGCTCTTTTAATGTCAGGAGTCGTTCTTCTCAATTTTTCACCAAATACATGTGATAGCCCATGTGATTTTTGAGGCGTTGTGTCTAGGCCTTCAGTTGCAGTAGAAGTTTTCAATGGCGATAACTTGTTAATAGACTCGTGTTCATCGGTCGTTCCATTGATTTCATCGTGCACAGTACGGTGTGGACTATCTAGTAGTCTTCTTCGTTCTTCCTCACGTTTCCTTTCTTCCGTTATTCTTTGTACCTCCTTCCGTTTTCGTTCTTCTAGACGAGCACGCTCTATTCTTTCTTTCTCTGCCTGTCTGGCTGCCATCTCTGCTTCTTGTTGCTTCTGGAACGCCTCTTCCAACATAGTTATGCGTCTAAGTGCATTAAACCTCTCTTCTTGAGCTTCGATAGTCTTCTCAAAGTCTTCATGCTTTCTTATGAATTCCTCCACTTGTGAAATACTTTCTCCCAGTTTCCCATCATTCAACATTGGTTCCCTACTCACTATCCAGTTCTCCAGTGTCTCTGCATCTCGTTTGAACATCTGGGTATCTAGATTTTGTTCATAGATGTGTCTTCTTTGCTCCCAAGTGTCTTTCAAGAGCTGTTGTCTGTGTTGTAGGACAGATATCTTGTCTTCTATTTCCTTTGCCAAGAAATGACCTTCTTCTATTAATTCCTGACCCGTTTTGTAAAATTTCTCAAAGGCTTCATTGCGTGTTTCAATTTCTGCTTTGTACTCGTTGTGCCTCAATATCAGTGCTTCTGCACCTGGCACGTCACGAGCCAATTCAGGGGCGGTTACTTTGGCTACCATTTCATTTATCCAGGATATCAGGTCTCTGTATTCACCCAAGTATGTCTGCAGTTGTTCCGCTTGGGATAACTTGCTCCTCCTTTGAGCTGCTTTCTCTAGTAATTCATTCCAGGTTGCTTCAGCTTCTTGGTGCTTCACTTCTATGTGCGAACGAGCATCTGGGAATAATTCAATTAATCTCGAAGCCTCGTCCATTAGCAGTTCGACCTAAAAACAACATTGTTTCAATTAATATATGATAAATTATAATTTATCTCATAAAGAACATATATTTATAATATACCTGTTCTTTAACAGCACCCAAATCCGTTTCGAATCCTTGATGTTTCCTTACCAAAGCTTGAATTGTTTCTAAATCATGACCATAACCATCGGAACTGAGAGTAGTTTCTTTTTCTTGAATCCACGAAATAGTTTCATCCGCAGTTCTGTCGAACATGTGCACCTGTTTTGCTCCAGCTAGTGCATCTTGTCGTGCATGCGCTAATTCCTTCAGATCTTCCCATTGTTGTTTAGTCTCGTCTATTTTCATCAATATTTTAGATTTCTCTGGATTATTTTCCTGTATTAATTTTTGTCCTTCATCCAGTACTGCTGATACTCGACCTTCGCTCGTTGTTAAACCGGCTAAAAAGTTATCAAATATCTGAATAAGAAGCTCAACGTGTTCTACGTCACAACCGTAATCTTCTGAGGCTGCAACCTATAGAATAAATTAATTTTATTTACTTTAATATCAATAGAATTAATCCTAGCTTAAGTTAGACTATCCTAGACGCATAATATGTGCAGGTTTTTCGATAAGAAACTTACAGTTGTCTGATCTCCAATCCATTCAATTACTTCATCTGCTTGCCTGATGAACTTAAAGAACTTCTCGCTCTCACGCAATCTCTGAGATCGATACTCTTTCAATTTCTGCAATTCTTTGAACTTCTGTTCGATCTCTGATT